TAAGTGCTAGGCTGCATTTCAAGGCAAAACTGTATATTCCTGGGCCTGGACAAAACTGGGTCCTGCTGGGAGCCCATGAAGCCTTCCAGGGAAGGTGTGCATATTTTCGCAAGTGGATCCTGTGTGCTAGTTTTGTCCTCCAGAGGGAATAGGTGCGAAGTGGGATATAGGGCAAAAGCAAAGCCTGAAATGGAGGCCAGTTGTTCGCATTTCAGTTTGGGGAGTTAAGTAATTTAGATCAGCCCCCAGAACAAACAAGTAGAGGTGTTTGGGAGGAAGGTAGTGATCTGCAGAACTGGTTAAAGGAATAAAGAAATGTCTTTGGGGTTTTCATCTTGCTCAAGTCCCACTGCCCCAGGAGGTGTTCCAAGTGGGCAGGCTCCATGCTTTGGAACCTAGCCTGGAAATTGCTCAGTACCAGCGGGACCTGGCCAAAGGTTTAGCCTTCTTATGGGAGCAGTGACAGAGCAGCTAAGACATGTTGCTTTGGCTCCAGAGGGGTGAGTTTGAGCTGTGCTGACTGCACTTCATGCACAATATTTTTTACACCAACCCCAGCTGTGTGATTCTGGCTGGGGAGCTGAGAGTCAGGCAGGTATCGCTGCAGCTGCAGCAGCCTCTCCCTACTCTAGCTATAGGGACTGCTCTCTCCTAACTCTGTTGCCTTACCTGAGGTGTGTCACCTTGAGATGGCCCATGACTTGAATGTAAGATATGGGTCTGGTTTGTAGTGCTTAGGGGGCTTTGGGGTGAAAGTTTGTGGCTTTGGGTGAAGGTCTGTGAGTTTGTGATGCTGTTCCTGGGAGTTAGAAAAAGATGACAAGGACATGGAAAGGGAATGGGTCTAGTTCTGATTGCCCAGTGAGGTTTTTCTTCACTTTCTGGCTCTTGGTACTGGAAAATACCAGGGAAATGCAAAGAAAGGAGTTCCCTCGCTGTATGGTGTGTGGGAGTTGGTTCCCAGGGCAGAGCATGCTGCTGCCAGTCAGCAAGGGGACCTGAGGGAAGGCGAGAAAGGAAAAGCAGAGATCAGGAGGAGAGGCAGTGCAGGAGCCAGACGGACTGTTCCACCCAGAGAGGGGATCCCGTCCCTGCAAACTTGTATGCTCCCAGGGGCGCATGCAGCACATGCACACTTCCTACAGTTTTGTGCTGTTGCACAGCATTGCTTTCGAAAGGATGCTCACTCTGCATGTGTGCAGTAACACACCGGTGTCACACAAAACAGTAAATGCTGCCACACACACAAGGCAACCCACAGAGGACACATCGCTCCCTATGACACCTCACAAATGCACCGCTGTTTTCAGCAAAGAGCAGATTCACACACAGAGAAGCTGTTCACCCTGCAGTACAGCACTTGATGCACACATGTACACATGCACATCCCAGACATTGATTCCTGGTGTCCACTGCCCACAGCAGGCACAGACACAACACCAACACAGAGATGCTCACCCCAGGCCACACATTCCTGCACAGCTGCATGCACACATGGCACCACACTGTCCATGTTACCCCCTTTCAGCACTATCCCAGGCAGGTGGATTCACTCAGGGAAACACTGACAGACACACGTATGTTTGTGTCTTCCAGATCTCCCTGCATGCCAGAACAAAACTGGAATGTGAAGGTGAGGCAAAACACATCCTTTTGAGAATGAGCAACACGAATACCACACCAATGCACACATACAAACTCACATGTGCATACCACTCGGGTCCTGTTTGCTGTGCTTTTGCTATCCCTTTTCCTTCTTTTAGCTAGTGATAGTGCTTCTTCCATGCCTCTGAAGCACAGGAGCAGGTGGTTTGGAGGTCAGTTTAGGTTGATCATTCCTTTTTCCACTAGTGGCTCTCTTCAGCTGCTTAGGTCAGTGCTAAGTGTCTCAGAAATGAAGATCCTCCTTGCCTATCCATGCCCAACACCTCTGTGTTACTTCTCAGCCCCTATTAGAATTTCTGAGTCCAAATGCCTCTTTAAATTGCCCTCATGACCGTACTTTAACCCAAACAGCGTTTCAGGCCATAGTGGCTTTTCCAGGTTTTGGCAGCATCTGTTAGCTTTGACCAAATGAGGCAACTCCATCTCCATTCTGCTCTGTACACATGCCTTGCTGAGACCCAAAAGACTCTTGCTTGTCCCCTTTCAGCCTGAATTATTCATCTCCTGTAATGCACAATGGATGTTTGTGGGAAGTGGCACACAGGTACAACTGAGCACAGTGCCGAGGAACCAATGTTTCAGCAAGCTGAAATTGCCTGGGTGCATGGGCCAAGTTTGGCTGAGAGAGAGAGGAAATTTTTTTACTCCTTTAAAGCGCTTCAGAAAAGTGAATGGTGGTGGTGGCAGTGGAGGCAGAGGGGAGGAGGGGGTGTTTTGGAGGGGTTGAGGTGGTGGTGGAGGCTTCCCCACATGTTTCTTCTGGCTGCTCTCATGCTGCTGCATGAACATGCATGTGGTGCATGAATGGAAGGTGGGAGTGCTCTGGGGGAATGTGGGAAGTAGGTGGCTTTTGGTTGTGGAGAGCTGGCATGCCTGAGCAATGGTGGGGAAGGTGTAGTCTCATGCTGAGGGTGTTTGGTGAAGGACTATGGGAACAGGGTGCTGGGGCATGTAATATGTGTGAGAACAGGGAGCCCCTGAAAGAGGCTATTGCAATGTATGCTCCACTGACCTACACATTCTCAAAGCCCATGCCTGTCCAATAACACAGGACAAGAGCTTTTGGGATACCTTCCATATTTCCTCCATGTGGCTGGGGCTAGACCCAACTGCAACAACCCCTGCATTGCCTGTATACAAACCATCCCTTTGTGTCTGTGATCTCTTCCTTTTGTATTTGTGCCACCACTGCTCCAGTGATCCCAGGACAGCCATGAACTCCTGCACCAAATACCTGGTGTTGCATGCACACCCAGCTGCTCTTTCGCCCTGGAAACCCCATGCTTTCCCATGCCTCTCCCCTTTCCCAGGGGCACACAGGTACACCTGCTTGTCCTGATGTCGAACCCTGGTTGTTGTCCGTCACCGCTAGCAGCATTGTGCTGTGACACTACCGAGCTTGTTAAACAAGCCTGGCAGAGTGCTCGCTGTGCTGTACCTGCTGCCAGGCCGATCTCTCCTTATTCCCTTGCTCCTTCTTACCCATGTTGTGTATTTCCTCGTCTTTCCTGGGTCCTGGGGGAAGCTGGCTCCTTCCTGGCCAGATCTCTGCTTCCCATACAGGTCTGTGTGCATCTTCACTATGCTTAGGTTTTGCAGTCACATCCCCTGATGCCACTATCAGCCAATTTCACAGCACTCAGGGCAGTTGGGACTGCACACTCTTCTTTGCATGCAAATTATGCACCATCTAACACCAGAACGGAGAGTAGGAGAAGGGATGAGTGTGGATGCTTTTCCAGGATTTCTACTCCAGAGACTTTGCCCCCAGGACTGCAACATGTGTCAGCAGACAGATACATGGGAGATTGTAGAATGGGCAGAATTAGAGAAAGTGAAAAAAAGGGAAAATCTCAGAGATGGAGGCAGTTAAAGCAGAGTTGGTGCAGCAGCGGTGCACATGTGCATGTGCACCCATGCAGTTGTACAGAATACAGATGTCTCCAAAGTTAGTTCCAGCTTCCTAATTTTCAAGAATGTCTTGTCTTTAATTTTTTTTGGGGTGAATGATGCTGGCTGTCTGTGCTTCATGTGTAGTTTGTGTTTGTCTGCCTGTGCTGGATGTTGATGAGTATTTGTGTTTTTCATGTGACAGAATATGTCTGGTGTTTGCTGGGGCTAGCATTTAAGATCCAGAAGGATGCTATGCCACTGTGTGGGCTGAGTTTAAGTAGGTAACAGTATCTGATACGATCAGTTTGTATGTTGCAGGCAATTCATAAGTAGACTATATTTGTATGATATGCAGCCAGTGGTGCTTGCTTGACTTATGTTCCTGAGTGTGTGAGGATGTTTCATGTGACCTCATTTTCTTATAGATGTGTGTGTTGTGATTTGCTGGTGCTGGGGGGGATGTGTGTACATGGCACTTTTTGTTCATGGTCTTTGTTATGAGAGTGGGCTTATTAAATGCTATGTGTTTGTGTAGTAACAGTTATGTATAAGGAGTCAGGAGTTTGTGTGTGGTAGATGTGTTTGGATATTCAGCGTGTATTTCTGCAGGGATCGCTATTTGCTGTGCCATGTAAAAATGTTTTTGCTGTTTACTCATATGAGTGGTGGAACAGGCTGGGTGGAGCTGATGTGGTTGTGTGATGGTTGTCTGAAATATCACATATACATCTTAATACAGATGTGCAACCTTGTAGGTGCAGGATGAACGTGAAGAAGAGAAGCACCTCATCCTTTAGAGGGACTGAATTTTTAGAGGTTGTACGCAAGGTGGTGCATGGTGGTGTGAAAAGACCAGTGAGTGTGAATGTGTGTGTGTATGTGTGTGCGCGTGTGTGTACAGCGTGTGTGTTCTGAGTGTGAACAGCATCCTTGCAGGGGGGCGTGCCTGGGTGATGTGAGCAGGGCTGGGAGGTGGCGTGTCTGTGTGCATGCAGCCGTGTGTGTAGGCACACTTCACCTTCTCCCGGTGCAGCTCCATCAGCATCTTACCCTGCTCTGGGTCAGGTGCTCTCTCCTGTTTGTATGCAGTGGGACAACCAGGCTCTTAGGGTACAGGCCAACCTCTTCCCATCCTTTAAGTCTCCTTCCATCTGTCTGTCTGTCTGCTCTGCTGCCCATGTCCAGTTGTCTGTTCCCCTAATCACTGATACGCCCTGACTAGCTCACACCCCACACTGCCTGTGGACTCAGCAGCTGTGCATCTCTCCGTCCCTCCCACACGCACACACATTCACACACACACACACACCCTGGATCTTCATCTGTGGCATATTCAGTTGCCATTGGAAACCTAAGAAAGAAGTGAATCTACCCTCCAAGTCTTAAGCTGGTGATTTTTTTCCTTTTTTTTTTTTCCCTCCCCTTTCCTCCTCTCCTCACAGAAGGCAAAGTCGTTCGCAATGAATCCATGGCAGCTTCGATCGAGCGGTGAGCTGGAGCACCTACTCACAGGCCACTCCTTGATGTGACTGAACAGAGACCTTTTCCAGCACTCGCCGAGGAGAGCAGAGCCCCGGATTTACCTCCCGCGCACCCGGGCACCCCAGTGCAGGCACCGTGAGGTAAGCCAACCTCGGCACCTCTGCCTGTGCCTCTCTTCATCCCTCCCTCCCTCCCTCTTGTTGCTTGTTCCCCAGAGGTGTGAGGGAGGGGAAGGGCAGGGGTTTCTGCTATGCTGTGAACAAAATCTAAGCTTTCATCAGCGCCCTCCCCACAATGGAGAGCTGTTCCCTCCTCCCGAGCCCCTTTTCTTGCGGCTCCGCAGGCGTGTGCAGGGAGGGGTTGTTTGCAGAGCAGCCGAGGGAAGCGCTGCGGGTCCCCTGCACGCAGTCCCGAGTGCATTCCGCCCCTTTCCCATCCCTCACTTGACACACACCTGTCTGCTCTTCTCCATTCGTCATTTTCCTCCACCTCCCCTATTTCTTGGGAGAAGGGGCAGCCTGGCTGACTCTGCTGCAGCCTGGCCAGCAGCATGGCTGGGCTCTGCAATCCTGGCCTGGGTCCCCTCGGGGTTGCAGCTTGCAGCAGAGCAGGAGGGGGCATCATGCTACTGGGAGTGGGGCATGCAGGGAAGAATTCCCCCTCCCTTCTCATCTTATGGATATTTTGGGTATCCCAGTTCCCAGTTCATCACGGAAGATGCTGGCCTCCATTTCCTAGCCAGGTACCTCCTCTGAATACCCAGCCCAGCCTGGCATAGCTTTTGGGGTGATGGGCATGCTCTTTGTCACTGCTTATCTGCTGTCCCCTGGTGCTCCGTCCCAGCTGGAAGGGATGTTTTCCTACTGGAGACAGTGTGTTTCATAAGCTGGGAACGCCGTGTGCCCTGCACAGGCAGTGAAGGGGCCCTGTGCTAAGCCTGACCCATTTTGGGGCGCAAAGCTCTTGGGAGCACCTGAAAGGGCCTCCTGCCGCCCGGGGCTGCCCTCAGTGCCCCTTTCCTCAGCTCCTCTGCAGGGAAAGCAGGAAGATCAGCTGCACTATTTCCATGCCATGTCTTCGTGCTGCTGTATCTGCTGCGGTGTGGGAATGGGAGGGGAGTGGGAGCAGCTGTTTCTCCCATTGCCTGGGCAGGCCCAGACATGCTGCCAGTCCTCGAGGAGCACGAACGTGCCTGGAGATGCCTTTCCCCAGAATAGACCCTAAAGAAATGAGCTGCTAGCAAGGCAGCAGACAATCTCAGAGGAGTGGATTTTAGAGGGGAGGTTTTGGAGTTTGCAATCAGCCAGGCCGTGCTTTCAGGTTCTGCACAGAGTTTGGAAGAAAGCAGGGTTTTCTGAGTCAGATTTTGGGGGCTGTTGCCTTTCTGTGAGGGGAAGAGGACTGGCAGAGTCTGTGTTGCTGTGCAACCCTGGCAGTGGTGCTGGTGTGGTGTCCCCTGAAGGAGGTGATGGGTTGCTCTCCTCCTGCCCAGGCCCCACCTGGTGATGCTGGCAAGGAAGGTGTCTTTCAGGGCATGTTTCAGTGCATCTCCCTGCTGCAACCACAGGACCCTGCTGTCAGTTCTCCCCATCTACAGTTTCTCAATCCCCCTGTCCAACCACCACAATATCTACCCTTCCACAAGAACTACTGCCTTTTAACTTCTCTTTGGTGGCACTAAGGTGTTTCTCCTCCTCTTTCAGGGTACCCCGAGCCCTGCTTTTTTCTCTTTCAGCACCCCTTCCTCACTTTTCATCGTTTGTGACTCCCATGCTGGGCAGGACCGGCTTTGGTCAGTCTCAGGAAGGGCTGACTTTCCCCAGTGGGATTGTTTCTGGATGCTGCTGCCAGCTGACAATACTGTGAAGTGATCTTTTCCCTGGTGGTTCTCACCCTACGGTGTGTGCGCGCGCGTGTGTCTTGAGGGTGATGGAGTGACTGTAGCACTGTTGATGTGTCACTCTTTCTCTTGGCTGGAGCTTGGCAGGGAGCGTGCCCAGGCAGTCGCACTCAGTTTTGTTGTTGGGGAGTTTGCAGAAAGCAAGCTCTTCCCATATGGAGCCTCCAAAGTCATTTGGCGTTGGTTAAATTCCTTAGCCCTCTCAGGACGTGGCTTTGGCACTGACTCAGGGTGGACATGACAATAAATCCAGCTCTAGGGAGCTTGGTACTGGGTCAAAACTGCTGCAGCTACATGGTAGAAAATGCTGATCCGGTATGAATTCACTCTGTTGTTTCAGATTTGTTTAGAAAACAATGTTGGCTTAACTCTGTACTGGCAAGGTTTATGTTGTGTTGGGTATTATCTGTCTGTACAACTCTAGCTTGATGCTGGCTCTGGTGTTGTTTGTGTGCCACATCTGGCACACACTCCGGATCGTGTGTGCTCTGGCTAATCCGACAAATGTAATTGCACACTGCAGGCAGCCTGGTTCAGTCCCTCCTGTCAGGCACACCAGTTTCAAAGAGGGTTACATTACAGTCTGGGAGCAAGCCATGTTCCACACCAGGCATCTGCTTTCCCCTCTCAGGAGTAACAACAGCCCTGATCTTCCAGGTGCCTCGAGAAGTGATGCACAGTGAGGCAGAAACCCATCTCCCTGTAACTTCATCTCTCTTAGTATCACCCCAAGTCCAAGAAGATCCTAGGGAGAGAAGTGTGTCCTCTGGCTGGTGGCCACATCTCTGACTGGCTCCCCCCAATGGTTTTTTGAGCTGTGTTTCACCCTCTGCTCTGGAGAACCTGTGTACAGGGACGAGAGGATGGCACTGGCTTGGAGGACTTCAGGCATTGCACTAAAGAGGAAGGGGAGGAAAGCATTGTCCCAGCAGGAGGATGTTGTTCTCCAGCCTTGAGCACTCCACAACCCCATGGCCAGTGCACATGGCCTGGGAGAAGCGTTATCATTCCTCATAGGATCATGTTGGCAGAAAATGGGGCTGCACCATGAGTGGAAGCTGAGACAGCCCCATTTGAAGCAGGTGCTCATTGGGATGGAGTATGAGTGCACACCCTGTTATGCTGCAGGGACTTTTTCCAGATCTGTCACTCAAGTGCTTGTCTTGCTGAAAGAGGTAATTTTGTTTGTGCTGGGGGGTCTGAGGGCAGAAAGGTGGTGAGGAGTGGTTCCCCTAATGCCTGTGTGTGGATGTGTACAAGTTTCTGGTGATTAGGAGGAGAATTAGTTGATTTGGTTTAGCAATCCAGAGCCAGTTTTACTTTAAAGCCCAGCAAAATGAGCTTTTGGGGGTTAAAGTAAAGAGGTGACACTGTCTACCAAACCAGGTTGCTAAGGACTCCTGACTCCTAATTGTAGTGAACTCTCTCACTCGTCACCATGCTGTGCCTCAGTTTCCCCTACCTTTACATAGGACAGGCTGTAGACCTAAACACTGCGGGAGAGGAGAGGAGAGGGATGGGAAGGAGGGATGAGAAGGCATGCACAGTGCTTCAGGCTGCACAGAGGGATGCTGTGGGGAAAGGGAGGTTCAGCCTGTGGACTCTGCTGACATGGCTGAGTGCTGTCGTTCGCAGCGGGCTGGATGCCGGAGGAGAATCCGTAATGACCAAGGGGCCGTGTGCCAGGACCAAGGCAGTGATTCACTCAAGCCTCTGTTTGGGAAGAGAAAGGGAGTTTGTGGCTTGTCACTTAGGAAACAGAGTAGAGATTCAGTGGTGAAGGACAGGCTTCTTGGCTGGGCCTCCCCAAGCAGCCACGCCGCGTGTCTCTGTGTGTGTGTGTGTGTCAGGGGACCAAGGGGTCCCTGGTACAGGCCATGACTGGCAGCTGGCCATCCCTGGCACCCAGTACTTCACCTCCCCCTTGCACCCTCTGCACAGCCACCACTGACTGGCCAAGGACAGCCCTGAGATACACACACGTGACACACCAGTGCCTGTGAAGAGAGGGAGATGATATAAAGCCTTGCTAGAAGAGAACTGGATGGGATTTGAGCTTCCTCCCTGCCTAGTTTATCCTGCATGTGGTAGCACAGCATCTGTGCAAGTGTCCATGTTGCTTCATCCCAACCCAAACAGGCATCTTCAGTAGTGCTGTGTCTGGTGTGTGGGGCCAGGTCACAGGCTGGGGAGTGGTGTTGGGCTAACTTAGGGGATGAAGAAGATCTGTTTCTCCTGTGAGTTCCTTCTCTGTCTCATCCCTGCTGTGCCTCTTCCAATGTGATCCTGCCTTGCTTCTTGGAGGTAGAGACCTGCAGGCAATGGAGGCAGGTGTCGAAGAGAGAAAGGGGATTGCAAGACACACAGAGGTATGGAGAGGATGAACTCTCTGAGAAAGAGGGAAGACCTGAGGAAAAATAGGGCAGAAGCATCAAAGGAAGAGAGGGGTGCTGAGGGAGGCAGAAAGAGAGCAGTACATGTCCATGCAGTGGCAATGTGGTGTGGAAGTCTTTATATTGATAGTACAGACTAGAGTTTGACCTGATCATGTTTTTACTGGTCAGGGATGTAATCTGAAATGCTGTGGCAGAAGGACCAGCTCTTCACAGTGAACTGCTCATCTTCCATCCTCCTTTTTAATCCAGGGAATAGCCAGCCTGAGATTGTTCTGCTTTGAGGTGCTTTCTCCCGTGCATGTTCCTCTGCTCCTGATAGGGAGGAGGGTGCATGGCTGAGAAACCCATCCCCATATCCTCTGTCCTCCTGGCCCTCGCCCAGTGGAACCAGAGGAAGTGAGTGTGCTGCCCAGCGTGGCTGAGAATTGCCTTGCTCTATATTGGAGGGATGTTGGTGAGGCCTTAGAGAGAGCCACAGACCTGCTTTTAAATGGCTCCCCAGAAAAACTTTTGGCCACATTACCTCACATAGGCAATGTCTGCAGGAAATGAATTCAACAAGCTACACGAGGCAGCATTTTTTCTATAACTGCCCCATCAACATGTCCTGTGAGAACTGAACAGCAGCAATTTAGATAAGAGGGATTTGTGGATGTTTCTCTTCCTCTTTTATTAAATATACTTGAGTACATATCCATCAGATAAGGTAGGTATGCCAGGTCTGTCACAGGGTGGGTAGATTTCATACAGATGTTCTCAGAGTCACTTTTGATGGGGGTGTGGTGGTTTCCAGGAGCTGGAATGCCAGTATTGGCTTGCAGATGGGTTGACAGGTGAACATGTA